ACACCAAAATTAAGCCCCAGTTAAGTGAAACCCCGCCCTCCACCCTTGTGCAGCAACCATGAGAAGATGACGTTGCTGCATTTGAATAAATGTAGATGGTTGTATATGGAAAAAATAAAACATCCCCTGAAAATAAGACCTAGTGCGTTTTTGGAGCAAAAATTAATAAAAGACCCTGTCTTATTTTCAGGGAAACACGGTATATAACAGATGCAAGTTTTAACCCAAACCTAAGTAGCTGTTAAATATCGACATAGTATATATGCTGTTCCTAATTATTCAAAAAGACCATCTTTTTAAAATAATTTCTTCTGCTGCTGCTGCTTCTTTTTCCACTACCCAGTGTAGTGTAGTAGAAAGCATGATGGACTAGATCTCGGGAAATCTGGGCTTTGAATCCTCGCTCGGCCATGGAAACCCACTGGGGGTGTGGAATTGATAAAACCACTCCTTAAAGATCTCACAGGTGGGTTTATTTAGCTTTTTTTATTGGAACAGTAGATCAGCCTAGAGCTGAGCAGGTGACTATTGAGGAGAACCATCACCAGAGAGACTAGGAGTAAAGCAAAAAAGAAAACTTAGTGTTGATGAAGTAGGAGATCTGTTTAGGGACAGTGCTGGAGGGGGTGGGAAAATATCTCTGCATTATTTATAGGATTCTTTAGGACAGTTTCCCAAACTCCCAAGTTTGCCCCCTTGTCCGCCTGAAGGGGCAGAGCAAGAAGACGCAGAAGGTGACCTCACAGAGAGAATGAAGGGTACCTGAGAGTACCAATCTGCATGTAGATCTAGAAAAAATGGGGAAATACACATGGGCAATCTATTGGCCTGTTCCCCTGTCTCTAATGATGTAAGACACAGAAGGGGACCTCACAGAAAGAAAGAAGGGTACCTGAGAGTACCGATCTGCATGTAGATCTAGAAAAAATATATATGGGAAAAGACACACGGGCAATCTATTGGCCTGTTCCCCTGTCTCTAAGGATGTAAAACAATTGTGTTTTATATCAACACACTCCCGGCCTTTTCCAGTATTGGGCTGTGCTGAAGATCTGAATCGGGGTGGGGTTGGGGTTCTGCGTGCTGTGAAACCTGAGCTCCTCTCAGGTCCCTCCTGCACCTCCTGTGTTCTTGACAGCTAGGACGCCTGCTTTCTAGGACACAAGAGTGATGACGAGAAGCGTCTCTAACCAAAGTCTTTGGGGTGCTTCAAAATGTCAAAAGTTCCCATAAACTTTCAGAGATTGGAACTCAGATCCTCACTGACGCATCTGGAAAAGTCCACGAAAGAGGATGCAAAATCAGACTGCAAGAGGCCACAAACAAAAAATTATGATAAAGCCTGAATCTTTTCCAGAATGTTCAGCACCTGAACTTCAGGGTTGCCCACGCCATGCGGAGGACAGAGGGCAGGGACTGGCAAAGAAGGGTCAAGGCAGAGAGGGGTCGTGGAGCCCGGGGGGTCCCAACATGGGAAGCTCCAGAACAGGGTTGGTCCTTTCACCTCGTGATGGCTCAAGCCCTCCCCCCCCCAACTTAATACTCCCTTACTTGGGGTTGCGGGAGGGGAGGGCTTAGCGACCAATTCTAGGTTTTTTTGTGCTAAACCAAAAGGTTTTCATTTTAAGAGTAAGGCTCTGCTCTTTTCCAAAGGAAAGAGAACTGCTGTGCAGCAGGCGTATGTGATGTCGGAACCCGGGTCTGTGCGGGTTTGTGATGTCACAAAGTCTAGGGAAAAGTGGCCGTGGAAGCCGGGCAGTGTCTGAAAGGCCCCGAAGAAGGATGAGATGGCTACCTGTCCCGGTCTTGATCCTCATCACTTTCCAACCTGCGCACGCTCAAGACACCTTTTGCGAGTAAGTGGACGAAGAGAGATGCTCTGCGACCAAAACAGCAAGGAGGAGGAGGAGGAGGAGGAAGGGTTACCCATTGTATGGGACAGGACTGGAAGCCAAGAGGAGAGGAGTTTGAGGGTCCCCCCCTCGCTTTCCTCAAGCCCACAGAGGGTGTAGCTGGTGAAAGAAAAGACTGAACCTGCGAGGAGAGGGGAGACGATGGGGACAGGGGGCTCGCTCCTCTCCTCTGAGGAGACCCTTCCTTGGCAAAACCAAGGGCTGAAAACTCTAGCAAAAGCAATGTGTGCTGTTTATAGACCACCCCACAGCGCTCCAAGCACTCTCTGGGCGGTTTACAAGTGAATTACGCAGGCTACCCATTGCCCCCCCTTCCCAATGATCTGGGTACTCATTTTACCAACCTCAGAAGGAGAGAAGGCTGAGTCAACCTTGAGCCAGCTACCTGGGATTGAACCCCAGGTTGTGAGCGGAGTTTGGGCTGCAGTACAGCAGCTGAACCACTGCACCGTGAGTCTCAAGGAAAGGTGTTTTTTTTTCTTTTTCTTGGAGCTGCCAAATCCCAGAATCCTCCAGCCATTGTGGCTGCTTGTCCAGGCCAGCTGGGAGATTCTGGGATTTGTAGTTTTCAAAAAAAAAAAAAAAAAAAAAACGTGAGTCTCAAGGAAATGTGTTTTTTCTTTTTCTGGGGATTCCCAGAATCCTCCAGCCATTGTGGCTGCCTGTCCAGGCCAGCTGGGAGATGCTGGGATTTGTAGTCTTCAAAAAAAGAGAGAGAGAACATTCTCCCAGGCTCTGCAATTACCAACTGATCTCTCAGCCACCATTCTGAGCAGAATTAAGCAAGCTGTGGGTCGGAGCAAAAAGGCAGGTTCCACCAGCCTGTAGCCTCTGAGGTGGATGGGGAGGAAGCCGCAGCTGCCAGGGCAGGAGGAAGGCCTGCTTGTGACCCTTGCCAAGAGGGGAAGCACCCCCTTCCCTGCCTTCTCGCCCTCCGGGTCCCACATCTGGTGACAGCCTCCTGATACGCATTCTGCCAGGACCCTTCCATCACTTCCTGGCGTGACAGGGCAGCCGGGTGTCTGAACAGTGGTTCCGGCAGCGGCTTGCACCCTTCAGCCTTGGTACAGGAGAAGGACAGCCACCCTCTTTTTCATTCTGACGGGCTCCTCGTCTACATGCTTGGCCAACAAGAACCCTCAGGGCCGCTCTGTGCTGAGAAGAGCTCTACCAGTTGAATTTGGCCAGTGGAGATGATGGAGGACTCCACTGGGTTCTTGTTTCATCTTTTTTTAAAAAATGTGCCCGAAATGTCTAGCGCAACATTCGGATTGGTGCTTTTAGGCTTCCTTCCCATTTTCTTCTTCTTCTAAGCTCACGTCCTGTTCCTCCCCAGCCCCTCTGTGTTAACAACGACTGCCAGAGACACTGGGTCGTGGAGTCAGACCCTTGGTGTCCGGGGATGAGGACTCAAATCTCTGGACGTGCTTTCGAGTCAGACTTAAGTCCTACCAGGGAGTTGACTCGAACTCAGCTCAGGTTTTTTCCCCCTCCTCTCAATGATTTAGACTCCACTTACAGTTTTGGAATCCACCCACCTGTTCCCCCTTTTTTCTTCCTGGAGAAAAGACCTTGTTCTTCATAGGGACTCAGACTTGGGGCCTCGGACCCAAAGACTCGCCAGTATCCCCTGATGGTGTCTATTTATGCCGTCCTTGTCCTCTCTCTCCTTTCATTGTTTTCCTTTAGGGCTGAGTGTTCTTGGCTGGTCCACTGTAACAAATCCTTTGGACACTCTGCAGAGAGACGGGTCTTTTAAAGGTGCTCAGAGGTTCCAAACCTTCTCTGCCGTCCCCGTTCTGGTGGAGTGACTTAGGGGGCTTCCCTTGTTTTTCTCGTCTAGTGGCATCTGTGGAAGACGGCCGTTGGCATCGAGCCACCACATGCTGCGGATTGTGGGGGGCAGCAACGCTCTGCCGGGCACCTGGCCTTGGCACGTCAACTTCCAAACCTCCACGTGGAACGGCCCTGCAAACGCCTGCGGAGGAACCTTGATCAGCCCTCGCTGGGTCGTCAGCGCGGCCCATTGCTTTCCGGACAAAGAGTAACCCAAAGGCGTTGCCTGGGGTGGGGCGAAGGAGGGGAGGGCTCCGGGTCTGGAATGAGGCAGCCCAGGATGGGAGGGTGGACTCCAAGGGACCCAGCATTTAGTCAGAGCAGGGGTGCCCCAAGGGAGGGCCCGGGGGGGCTCCAGAGCCCGTGCTCCGAATAACAAATGGCCGTGGGCCTCCTCTGATGCCCCAACCATCCAGGTCGAAGGTGGGGATCTGTGCCCACTCTAAGCACCATCGCCCACCCCCTTTCCCGACTGGTGCTAGAGTGGCCCTTGGCTAGAGGGCGGGAGCCCAAAAGAATTGCCACCAGACCCTGGAAGCTTGCCCCCTCCCCACCTCCCACGATCATCCCACTGAAAAATGTAGACAATCACCATGCCTGAGATGGTGGTGCGTGTCAGGAAACTTCCTCTGGGCTGAAAAGCCACCGTCCTTGACCATCCCAAGTTTCCATCGTGGCACAAATCCACCTGATCATGTGAAAGAGATGGGAGATGCAAACACCAGGCCTCCTTTCCACCCTTATTTGAAGGACCATGTCTCCCCAGATGAGCCTTCAAGGTATTTAAGACCCTCATGGGGACGCCCTCTTCTTGGTCCCATGGCCAGCGCGGGCACCATGGCTGAGGGGGGACACGAGGGAGGGGGGCTTTCTCTGTGGCTTCTCCCAGGTGGTGGAAGGCTCTCCCTCTGGAGATCAGATCAGGGCCCTCCCTTTTATCAGCGGAAGACCCTCCTTTTCAGGCAGGCTTTTAACCATCATAATAACCGAGTCCCCGAGTGCTGGGTTTTTGTTGTTGTTAAGATAATTTTTAATGTTTTACCAGTTTTTAGCTATTCATTTGTATTTGAATCCATTTTATATCTTGCTGCGTTTTTTTAAAACTTCTGTTCTTTTCATATTGTGAATTACCTTGGGTCCCTTTATCAGGAGAGAGGAAGCCTATAAAGAAGGGAAAGAAAGAAATCTTTTCCTACCTAAAGTCCTACCTGCCACAGCCAATTTCCCCGACTAATCAGAGAAGCAAGGAAACCTTCAAAGAAAAGGGGGCTCCAGACCGAACCCTGCATCGGGCGGTGTGTCCACACCGCGTGGTGGTTCCTTCCCCCGCTGTCCTGCCAGAGCCTCCGCTTCGGGGGCCCTCCTGAGCCCATCTGGCCCTCTTGAGCTGGTCTGTGCCCAGTTTCTGAAAAGTTGCCTCTGTTTCTGGCTTCCAGGCAAATCCCGTGGATTAAGGTGGTGGTTGGTAACATCAAGCTCTCCGACCCTGGTCCCGACGCCCAGCATCGCCGGATCAAGAGGCTGATCATCCATGAGATGTACCAGAATAACCTTGATAAGGTGGATGGCGGGGTGCCCAACGACGTGGCCTTGATTGAAATGGACGAGCCTGTCTTCTGCACCGACTACGTCCAGCCCGCCTGCCTGCCCGACGACAGTGTGGACGTCTCTGCGCTGACCTACTGCTACGTCAGCGGCTGGGGGACCATGGATGTGCCAAGTGAGAACAACCAAAAGCAAGAGCTTCAACGGGGCCCTTTTGGAAAAGCGCCCCACCCTGCAGGGTTGAATGGTGCCCAAAACATGCATTGCAGAAAGCCAGTCGTTAGGAAAAAAAAGGGGGAACCCTGTAAAAGTGATGGGTCTAACCTAAAAAGCCCTTTAACGGCCTGGACCCAAGCGATATCACGGGCCCTTTCGTGAGCTGCCTCCGGTGTTAAGATCACCAGGAGAAGAAGCCTTCCTCTCTTTCACAGGCACACGTGGCCTTATTGGACTCTGCTCCCAGACTCTGGAACTCCCTCCCACCGGAGGCCAGTCTGGCCCCATCTTGGCTCTCCTTCCACAAACAGGCAAAGACCTTATAGTTCCAGTAGAGAGGAACAGAATGGATTCACTTAGCTGCACAGCAAAAGAGGTTCACACAGCTTGGAGTTAGGGTTGATTTAGCAAGTCCCTAAAAACATACGCACAAGCTCATCACCCTACAACATTGAAACCAGCTTAAATGGTTGTTCAGACACGGCTTTTAAAGTAAAAGAAAGAAGTCCTGGAAAGAACTCATGGGAACAACTTATTTATTTGTTTGTTTGTTTGTTGGTTGGTTGGTTGGTTGGTTGATTGATTAATTGATTGATTGATTGATTGATTGATTGATTGATTGATTGATTGATTTGATTTATATCCCGCCCATCTGGTCTGGTCGACCACTCTTGCAAAGGGCAGCCTTGAAGTTGGATTCAGAAAGCTGCAATAGTAGTTAGTACGAAGAGTCACCCTTTCCAGAGTGGCTGTGCAGCCGCCCAGCCTTCAAATAGGGGGCATCTTTGTCAGGCTTCGGAGAGAAGGCTATCCTCTGTTCAAGAAAGGACGTCTGGCCACCTCACTCTTTGGCTAAACGTCTTGATGTCTCTTTCCCTTAATCTTTAGGGGCAGAGGAGTGAAAAACTGAATGGTTCTCCTTGTCTTCTGTCTGCAGCTCAAAAACAGCCGGACATCCAGCAAGAGGTGAGAGTGGACATGATTCCCAGGAAGATATGTGGCAGCCCTTCCGCTTGGAACAAGCGCATCTTGGATGAAAATCTTTGCGCTGGAAGAATGGGAGAAGAGATCGGTATCTGCCAGGTAGGGGGGAACAAAGGGTCAAAGCAGGGTGAGGAGATGACGCCCCCCCCCACTCAGAAGCTCCAACCTGTGTCTGGTGCAGGGCAGGTTCCTCCAGGAAAGGGTTTCCTCTAAATCCAGAATTTCATAAATTCAGGGCTGAGGAAGGCTCCCCTGCTTGGCTGTCAACTCTTGAGTCCCGCCCCCCATCCTTCTTGGCTTGGGATGGGCAGCCCTTGAAGGAAGGCGCCATTGCGCTCCGGTCACCTCCAAGACCCAAGTTCTGTCCCCATCCGTTTTTAAAAGGGACAAAATCCCGGATGAGGCCTGGGAACTGAAGCCACTGGTCTCGGTGCCTCAGCCTTTGAGGAGCACCACCCTGAACCATTTGGGGCCAGGATCCTTTCCCCTAGGTTCCTGCGGGCCTCGTCCCACAGACAAGAGTCGGCTGGCGTCTCCAGGTGTGGCCTTTGTGGTGCCAATGCCACCGCCGTGGAGCAGCGTCCGCTTCCCGAGGGAGGCAGAAGAGCCCCCCACTTTGCGTCACTTCAGATGGTCGGTGACGGCTCTTCTGTCCCTCCAGGCTTTTGAAGATGTGCCATTGCAACCCCGGTGAAATATTAGTTCGGCCTCAAGGGTCGGGATGAAGAAAGAGCAGGGCCGTGAGCCATGTTCCCTCTCGCTTCCTGCCAGCGCTGGGCAGGGTCCCACCCCGTGCAGGCGGGCTTCCAGCAGCAACCAGAAAAATAAAGAGGGCTGCAACACTGGCTGCCGGTGCATGGCACCAATGCAGTGCTGCACCGCTGCACACCTGTGCAGCTTAGTTGGCTTGGAGTACAAGATTTGACTTAAAAAAAAAGAGGCAGGAGAAGTCTGAGCTGCTGTCGCTGCTTGGACGGCTCAGGCCCTTTGCCCTTCAAGGATTCCACCTGCAGAGCTGATTTGTCTGGGTTTTATTGGACACCCGACCCAGGTTGGATTTTTTTATCTGACTTTGAATTCAAAAGGCCACGCGGCCTTCCCAGTTCTACAAGCATCTTCTCTCTTGGTGCTCTAGGTCTTTCAGAGTGGAAATTGTGGCATTGTGTTGTTGTTATCATTGCTCACGTTGTGGGTTATATAAGTGAGAATAAGAAAAGACTCATTCTGTGAAATTCTTTTTGCAAAGTTTGGCAAGAGGTATCTTGGCGAGCCCAGAGCCCCGCCAGAAGGGCTGTACCATGTTCCTTAGCGCCCTCTGAGGTTGATGTTAACGCTACTGTCAAGTCGCACCATCGGGCATGAGGCTTGCACCATCCTCTCCTGGTTTTGTGTTATGCTCTCATGATTTCGTGTGTGTTGTGTTGTCCTAAGCGTCTACCAGGTGGTGGGTGGCGGGTGCAATTTTTAAGTTTCACATCCTTGCTTCCTGTGCTGACTCATTATCATCTGACCACTGAAGGATGACTCACGGCATCCTCCGTGTCCGTGGGCGACCCAGTTTTGACAAGCACGGTGCTCCTCATGCCTTCCTCTTTTCCCTCTCCTCCCTGCAGGGCGACAGCGGTGGGCCTCTTATGTGTCGGGAGGAACGGTCCGAGCGCTACTGGGTGGTCGGCATCTCCAGCTGGACCACCGTTCTCTGCGGCAACCCGCAATTCCCAGGGGTCTTCACCTCCACACAGTACCACATGGACTGGATCAGGAGGCACGCCAAGGACAACTTTCTCATGCCCGGCCGCCCACCCTTGTTGGCACTCTTTCCGACTCCAACCGTTCCAAACACCACTCCAAAGCCCCATATTAACACTCAGTCCCAACAGAGCTGGAACTCGGCGCCTCCGAAGCCTCCCCCGATACTCCGGCCAACCAGCCGGCCGAGGCCTCCTATCCTGTACTTGCCCAGGCCGGTTCCCACACAGAGGACCACGGGGTGGCCACAGCGTCCAGTGACAAGACCACCCGCAAGATGGAGCTCCACGACTGCCTCCTGGCTGAGGCCCACCACGAGATGGGCTTCCACGTATCGTCCATGGAGGACCACTTACCTTCCCTGGACCACAGCCGCCACCTGGCCGCCCAGCAGAAGACCCCTCACCTGGTTTGGGCTGACTCGCCAGACGAGGGCCACCCAGAGGTGGACTCCCTCAGCGCTTGGTTACTCCTCCTCTTACAACTGGAGGCGGCCTCCGCCCAACCCCGGGGCCCCACCGGAGAAGCAGTAAAAAGGGTGGGTGCATTAAAAACATCACCCAAAGGGACAAGGAAGGGGTCGAGGTTCACTGGCGGAGGAGGGTGCCCAAGCCAGCTCTCAGTGGTCGGATGCGTGGCCTGCACTCAGGGGCACCATCACTTCCCACAGATGAGATGCCAGTCCTCCCACCTTGACCCTCCTCCTCCTCCTCCTTCCTCTTGGTCCCCTGGGAATATGTTGGGATGAGGAATCCGAGAAAGCTGCCGGCATTTTGCTTCACATCTATATTTCCCCCCCTTGTTCATTTCTCAGCAAGAGAATACCTTCAGTTCTTTAAAGTTTGTCTCAAAACTCAAGTAAAAAAATCAACCTTTAAAATGGGTAAGGGTTCACTCTTTGGATTAAAATAAAGCCAAGTCAGCCAGTGGTTCAGATTTCTGCCAGAACCCCACCAAGAAGAGAGAGGGTTGCCTTTGGTCTTTAAAAGAGATTCTTTGTTTTCCAAACCAATGGCAAAAATAACAAGAAAATAAAGCAATGAATGAGCTGATAAGCAGTTGAATCTCTCTGTGTTGTTTTCTTCCTTTTTTTCAAATGCAGACTGATTCCCCCTCCAGGGAATGCATCACAATAATCCTTAAAAGGCTAGGGATGGTTAAAGAAGAAAGTAAAAAAGCAGGATTGTGGTTGAATTTTGTTTATTACTTAAGCTTTTTTTTACCTTGCCTTTCTCCTTAAAATGAACCCAAGACGCAGTTGAATTTTGTTTATTACTTAAGTTTTTTTTACCCTGCCTTTCTCCTTAAAATGAACCCAAGACAGCTTAGATCATAAAAAAAAAAGAATATTAAAGCTACCGTGTTTCCTTGAAAATAAGAGAGGGTCTTGTATTAATTTTCACTCCAAAAACACATTAGGGCTTATTTTCAGGGGAAGTTTTTTTTTTCATGTACAACCATCTACATTGATTCAAATACAGTCATGTCACCTTCTTCTGGTTGCTGGAAGGTGGGGTTTCACTGAACTGGGCCTTATTTTGGGGGGTAGGGCTTATATTACGAGCATCCGGAAAAATCATACTAGGACTTTCAGGTTAGGTCTTATTTTTGGGGAAATGGTATATTAAAGCTAACAGTGAGTATACAAATATTTTTAAAAAGATCAAATCAATACCATGCGGGGAGGGGGGGGAGCATCACCACAACACATTTTAAAGCAATCCTGGCAACCAGTCAAGGAAAGCATTCGTGAAGAGAAAGGATGGCTTAACTTTAATTGTGAAAAGGAACAAATCGATATTGTTAAAAGTTTCAATAACTTGATTCAGTCATTGATGAAATCAGGGACTGCATCCAAGAAATAAAAAAAATCAGACTGGTATCTTATTGATTGATAGATTGATAGGTTGATAGGTTGATAGATTGATAGATTGATAGATTGAATTGATTGATGATAGGTTGATAGGTTGATAGATTGATAGATTGATAGATTGATAGATTGATAGATAGTTCGTTTAGTCGTTTAGTCGTTTAGTCGTGTCCGACTCTTCGTGACCCCATGGCATGGATCAGAGCATGCCAGGTCCTCCTGTCTTCCACTGCCTCCTGGATTTCGGTCAAATTCATGTTGGTCGCTTCGATGACACTGTCCAATCATCTCGTCCTCTGTCGTCCCCTTCTCCTCTTGCCTTCACACTTTCCCAACATCAGGGTCTTTTCCAGGGAGTCTTCTCTTCTCATGAGATGGCTGAAGTATTGGAGCCTCAGCTTCAGGGCCTCCCGGAGTTGTGTCAGGTTCATGTTGGTTGCTTCGCAGACACTGTCCAGCCATCTCATCCTCGGTCGTCCCCTTCTCCTCTTGCCATCACACCTTCCTAACATCAAGGTTTTTTCCAAGGACTCTTTTCTTCTCATGAGATGGCCAAAGTACTGGAGCCTCAGCTTCAGGATCTGTCCTTCCAGTGAGCACTCAGGGTTGATTTCCTTTAGTATTGATAGGTTTGTTCTCCTTGCAGTCCAGGGGATTCTCAAGAGCCTCCTCCAGCACCACAATTCAAAGGCATCAATTCTTCGGCGGTCTCCTTTCTTTATGGTCCAGCTCTCACTTCCATACATCACAACAGGAAAAACCATAGCTTTGACTATTCGGACTTTTGTTGGCAAGGTGATGTCTCTGCTTTTCAAGATGCTGTCAAGATTTGTCATCGCTTTCCTCCCAAGAAGAAGGCGTCTTTTAATTTCAGGGCTGCTGTCTCCATCTGCAGTGATCATGGAGCCCAGGAAGATAAAATTTGACACTGCCTCCATATCTTCCCCTTCTATTTCCCAGGAGGTGATGGGACCAGTGGCCATGATCTTAGTTTTTTTGATGTTGAGTTTCAGACCGTTTTTTGCACTCTCCTCTTTCACTCTCATTACAAGGTTCTTTAATTCCTCCTCACTTTCTGCCATCAGAGTGGTATCATCTGCATATCGGAGGTTGTTGATATTTCTTCCGGCAATCTTAATTCCGGCTTCGGTTTCTTCCAGTCCAGCCTTCCGCATGATGTATTCTGCATATAAGTTAAATAAGCTGGGGGACAATATACAGCCTTGCCGTACTCCTTTCCCAATTTTGAACCAATCAGTTGTTCCATATCCAGTTCTAACTGTTGCTTCCTGTCCCACATATAGGTTTCTCAGGAGACAGATAAAGTGGTCAGGCACTCCCATTTCTTTAAGAACTTGCCATAGTTTGCTGTGGTCCACACAGTCAAAGGCTTTCGCATAGTCAATGAAGCAGAAGTAGATATTTTTCTGGAACTCTCTGGCTTTCTCCATAATCCAGCGCAAGTTAGCAATTTGGTCTCGAGTTCCTCTGCCTCTTCGGAATCCAGCTTGTACTTCTGGGAGTTCTCGGTCCACATACTGCTGAAGCCTACCTTGCAGGATTTTGAGCATAACCTTGCTAGCGTGCGAAATGAGTGCAATTGTACGGTAGTTGGAGCATTCTTTGGCACTGCCTTTCTTTGGGATTGGGATGTAGACTGATCTTTTCCAATCCTCTGGCCACTGTTGAGTTTTCCAAACTTGCTGGCATATTGAATGTAGCACCTTAACAGCATCATCTTTCAAGATTTTAAATAGTTCAACTGGAATGCCATCACCTCCACTGGCCTTGTTGTTAGCCAGGCTTTCTAAGGCCCACTTGACTTCACTCTCCAGGATGTCTGGCTCAAGGTCAGCAACTACATTGTCTGCATTGTCCGGGATATCCAAATCTTTCCGATATAATTCCTCTGTGTATTCTTGCCACCTCGTCTTGACGTCTTCTGCTTCTGTTAGGTCCCTCCCATTTTTGTCTTTTATCATGTTCATCTTTGCGCAAAATGTTCCTCTAATATGTCCAATTTTCCTGAACAGATCTCTGGTCTTTCCTTTTCTGTTATCTTCCTCTATTTCTTTGCATTGTTCATTTAAGAAGGCCCTCTTGTCTCTCCTTGCTATTCTTTGGAAGTCTGAATTCAAGTTTCTGTAACTTTCCCTATCTCCCTTGCATTTTGCTTCCCTTCTCCTCTCTGCTATTTCTAAGGCCTCGTTGGACAGCCACTTTACTTTCTTGCATTTCCTTTTCTTTGGGATGGTTTTCGTTGCTGCCTCCTGGACAATGTTACGAGCCTCTTTAGTCGGAACTCTCCACTATGTCCTGTCCGTCTTGGGTGTCCCTGCATGGCATAGCCCATAGCTTCTCTGAGTTACTCAAGCCCCTTCGCCACGACAAGGCAGCAATCCATGAAGGAGAGATAGATAGATAGATAGATTTGATTTGATTTGATTTGATTTGATTTGATTTGATTTGATTTGATTTGATTTGATTTGATTTGATTTGATTTGATTTGATTTGTACCCCGCCCATCTGGTCTATAAGACCACTCTAGGTGTATCCTTCTGCTAGTCCCAACTAAAGGAAACCCATTAACTCAGTGGATTTGTGTAAGTGCAGGCTTACCATTCAGTAGTTTATTAAGTGGATTGAGTCTTCCTTGGAACCACTAACAGAATAACTGAGGCTCAGAAGGACAGCTTTAAAGGGAACTATAAAAGATCCTGCAGTTACCTGTAAACCAAGGTGAAGATCATCTGCCATATAGCATTCTCACAGGTAGTGAAGAGAATTGGCAGGATGAGCCCCACTTAATTTGAAATATGGCGTTGGAGGAATGCCTACAGATGCCATGGACCGTCACAAAGATAAGTAAGTGGTCCTCCATGGATGACACGTGGATCAAGCCCAGAAGGAAAATGGACTCAACTACTGCTATTGACTATCTGTGGACCAATACCATGCTTAAAATAATCATCATCATCTTCATCACCACAACACATTTTAAAGCAATCCATATAAAAACCCTGCTCAGGCAGCCCGTCACTCAAGGAAAGCATTCGTGAAGAGAAAGGATGGCTTAATTTTGATTGTGGCCCTTGTAGGGTTCTTTCTGCTGGTGATATTTGGCCTCCAAGCCTACCAAAGTTTTCTGCCTGTGAGATCACATAATACATCTTATGCAATGCAGGAATGCATCCGGAGGCCTAAAATCCATACACAACGTTTCAGAAGGCGTTGAGTGGCCAAGGGGCCAGCTGACCCACAGGAAGAGGACGCTGGCCACCCTTGAGCTCGCAGCGAAGAATGGGGATGAGGCTTTGTATGCCAAAGGGCTCAGATCCCCTCTGATTCGGGTGTGGTGTGCAGCGCAGAGGGCCTGCGGAAATCACGTTGGCCCCTTTGGGTCTGTCTTGGATTTTGCAGCATGCAGATGAGGACAGAAGGCGTGGGCAAGGGAGAGCCACCCTTTGCCTGTTGGGACTTCTTGCTCTTCCCAGTTTATGAGGGAGGCTGGCCAGGTGGGGAGGAGGAGAAATGGTCACATCCTTGTCCCTTAAATGCAGTATCCAGATGACTACAAATGCAAGCAGCTCTCCTTTATTAAAAAGCGCTTTTGCAAAACCAGGTGTCCTAGATGGATAGGCACACCCATCAATACAGATAACTCGGTACATATTTATCCCCTATTCCCGGCCGCAGGGTCCGTCCCTTGTTTCCCCATTGGTCAGGTACTCCAAGGTTTACAGCCTATCTGGGGCACCTAAACTGATCCTGTGAAGCCCCAGCCCTGTTTGCATCTCCCATTCCCCATATTAACTGGACTCCAGACTCTTATTTATTTCTAGCCTTATTTGGTATATGTCCCCTTTTCCTAACCTCCCTGCAGTCGTTCTAACTGACCCATTAAGTTCCTTCCTTCTTACCTAGGCCTACTCACCCAATGTTCTTGTCAGTACAATAGGGCACCTCCCTTATTTGTACTTTCCTCTTATAATTTCAAAAGTCTTCCCTAAATTCCTTATGTCGGCTAAATAATCAACAAAGAGTATGTACACTGATGGATTTACCATGACCATTTACTCAGTCATCCTGTCCTTGCAGGGACTTGCAAAAGCAGCCTTTACCTTCCTCCTTTTCTCTCCCAGTGTAGGGCAGGATCCCAGCAGGCTTAAATGAGGCCGTAGCAAGATTGTTCTTGAAAAAGCCCTCCTTGGATTCTATGGTATGAGACAATTATTGGCCAGTCTCTAATATTCCATTTTTGGGTGAGGAGAGTATGCAGTGGCTTCTCAACGTTGGGGTTTCCTGGATGAGAAGGATTATATAGAACCATTCCAGTCTGGCTTCAGGCCTGGTTATGGGATGGAGACTGCTTTGGTCCCTTTTACAGATGACCTCCACTAGGAAGTGGACAGGGGAAGTATGTCCCTGTTGGTTCTGCTGGACCTCAGCTTTGGATACCACCCACTGGGCTATCCTTCTGGCCTTGGAGGCACAGATGCCTGACAAAGGCTGGAAAAGTAGCCCTTGCGAGGGACCCAAAGAGGTGTGGGTAGGTATGGCCAAGGGGTCAGTGGTCCATGGAGCAAATCCACCCATTCCCAAAAGCAGTCCCAAACCACGAGGTAACGTGCCATCTGCTCACATCCTCAGTTGCCCACCAAAGAACCATCCAGCTGAAAATACTTTGCATCACGACAGGGATATTCTGCAAGAGTACTCTGCACCCGGGGAAATCCACATCTTTCCCAGCTACTGTGAAGATTGTAATGAAGCTCCAAAAGAAAAGGGAACCCCAGGATGATGGCGGATGATGTAACTGGCCCTTCTCCTCAGAATGGTCTGGGGCTTTAACCCCACGAGCCCTGGTTGCACTACACTGAAGCTGTCATCTCACCCAAGTGTGCTATGTTTTCTGCTTTACACACAGAGACACACTCATTTGCTCACTTGCTCAGCAAGGCCAGGTGTGTGTGATGTCAGACAGCCCAGGGGCTGACTGGACAGAACCTGGATACGTGCGTTTTATGATGTCATGAATTCCAAGAGAGCCCCGGTGGTGGAAGCAGCCTCTGGAGCAGCTAGGAGGATGAGATGGCTTCTCCTCCTCCTCCTTGTTCTGGTTTCTGCCTCTTTCAGGCCCACGCAAGCCCGGGGGAACGTCTGCGAGTAAGTGGCCACGGCCATCCTCACTACCTTCTACTTGGGGAGGTGGACTGAAGGGTGCAGGAGGCAGAAGGGACGACCCTCTGCAGCTCCAGCCCGTTCCCAGGGTGCTGGGGGTTGGTGAGCCCCAAAGATGGAAAGAGGACGTCTGGAGTGAGAAGAAGTCAGTCATGATGGGTGTTGTCGTAACCCCCCCCCACACACACACACATTTTTCCCCCATGGACCACATGACATAAAAGCAAATGTGAACCAGTCTGGACTCCCCCCACCCCCACCTCCAATCTGTAGTTTTTCCCCTCTGCTCCTGGGGCTCTCACTTGTTTGGGGAAGTGAATCCATTTCAGGTGGTTGATCACTTGAACCAACACAGAAAAGTGTATGCAGGGGTTCTGGTTGTTGACATAATGGTGTGATGGCGGGTGAGGGGCAATGTTAAAACATCAGGAAGGCTAGATCTTTGCAAATAATTACTTTTTTTAAAAAGCCTCATGCCAGGGGTGTTGCTCTAGAGCACTTAGTCACTGAGAGAGAAAGAGAGAGAGAGAGAGAGAGAGAGAGAGAGAGAGAGAGAGAAGGAAATTGTCACTTGGTCCTTGTTTACAGCTTGTTAAGGGAGTGTTTTGTAGCCATGCCTCCTCCAAATCAGGAGAATTCCAGGAGAGCTATTTTAACAAGTTGCAATCAAGTCTGTCAATTTCCTCCTTTCTTCTCATGTGGCTGGATAACTAGACTTTAACGAACGAAACCCAATTTCCCAGGTATGACTAGAGAGCAGATCCAATCTTTTTTTTTCTCTCTGTGTAGTGACACTCTAAGGAAGTGGCCTCTGTGTTTCCCGTTCAGGTGCAAGTGCATCTCTGCTACCCTGGCCATCCTTTAGAATCTTGGGTGTTGGAGTTTGGTGAAAATGTGGGCATGTGCTTTTAGGATGCCATGGAATCTAAGAAAGCAGAATTCTCTGCTGTGCTTAAAGGAATCAAGCCACGACTCTCCAGCAGATACGCTAGAATAGATAGCTCAGGGGTTTAATCTGGCTGTGGGGCCAGAGGTTGGAAGTTTTATTCCCCCTCCCCCAGGGCCTCCTTGAAAGAGGCTGGACTGGATGATTTACAAGTTCTAAGATGATGATGATGATGATCCTTTATGAACTACTGGATTGCTCAGTGCTTTAAATCTCTGGCTGCAGAGCCAGAGGTTGGGAGTTTGATTCCCCACGTGGCTGGACCGGATGATCTCTAGGGTCCCCTTCCAGCCCTGCAGTTCTAAGATTATTCAAACAGACCCACGTTGCTACAGCAGATGCCTTTACAAGCTTTCTTCCACATTCTTCCGGATCCTTGGAGACTGTGCCTGGTAAAATAACCTTAACCTTAGGATGGCAGAGCAGGAAGGGACGCTGGAGATCATCCAATCCAGCCCCTGCCCAGGAAGCCCAGTGGGGGAATCGAACTCCCAAACTCCATCTCCCTAACCGGAGACCTTTTGGGCCACAGGAGGATCACAATGTAATCGAGGGTCCCCTTTGTCTTTTCTCGGGAGGCCTACTGTACAGCCTGAGGACCGCATGCACGGTCTCTGTGGTGTGTCTCTTTTGCAGTAGGGTCTGCGGCAGACGACCGCTGGCAATCAGCGATGGCACCGGCCTGCGGATTCTGGGCGGCACCAACGCTCTACCGGGGATGTGGCCCTGGGTGGTCAGCTTCCAGTTCCTGACCCGAGACGGGTACCGGCATTTCTGCGCAGGCTCGTTGATCAACTCCCGCTGGGTCGTTTCCTCCGCTCACTGCTTCTACATCCAAAAGTGAGCAAAACCGCCTCTGCCGTGGGGCCTCCTTGCAAAAAGGAACAGGAGGTCCAGCGGCGCTGGATCCGGGCCCTTGGGTGCTGGGGAGGGGAAGGAGTAAAAGTGGGTCTCCTTGGAGAAGGAGCCACGTGAAGACCCTGGCTGCTCCTCCATTCTCAACAGGGCCGGTGCCGCTGAGGCATTTCTGTCCTGTTTCAAAAGAGTGGCTCTTGTCCTCCCCGACGACCGACGATGTCAATATCGCTCCAGGATTTCGACAGGAGAACCTTTCCCGGGGTTTCCGTGTCAATTGGTTTTCTTAGGCTCCCTCCTCGCTCCTTCTTTGGAGGTTATCTCCTCTTCTTTCCAGCCTTTCCATTTTATGTGAAAGTTACCCGTTGTTGTTCTCTGCCATAAAATTGCCTACGACTCACGATAACCCTACGAATGAACCATCTTCCAAGGGTCCCGTCCTCAACTGCCAGCTCAGCTCCTGCAGACCCAAGCCTGCGGGTTCCTTTAGGGTGTCCGTCCGTCTTGTATTTATCCTTCCTCTTTTCCTGTGGCCTCCCGTCTCTCCCAGCGTTCGTGTCTTTCCCACAGAATCCTGCCTTCTCAAGAGGTGCCCAAAGTAGGAAAGCCTCAGATTCAACAAGCTTTTCTCAGGCTTGACTCGGTCTAGGGCCCATTTGTTCCATCCTTGAGGCAGTCCAGTGGATCAGCAAAGCTTTCTTCCAGCACAGCATTTGGGGAAGAAAAATCATTTTCTCCCCCTCTTGGCTTTCTTTCTGTACTGACCAGCTTTTACACCCGTACATGGTGATCCGGAAGACGAGAGTGATCTTGGTCTTCATCTCCAAGGACACATCCTGACCCTTGAGGATTTTTTTCTAGTTCCTTTATGGCCGCCCTTTTGAGTCTCCACTTTCTTCTGATTTCTTGGCTGCCGTCTCTCTTTGGACGGAGGATTGAGCCAAGATCTACCAGGTCTCTCTTTCAATTTCTTCACAGCCAATGCGGAAGTTGTGTAGTCCTTCTGGAGTCACGCTTTTTGTCTTCTTTACCTTCAGATGCAATCCTGCTTTGACAGTTCCTTCTTTCACTTCCAACTCCTTGCTTGCTTTCTGCCAGTAAAATGGTGTTATCTTCAGATCTTAAATTACGGATGTGTTTTTCCCCCCACCAGTTTCCACTCTTCCTTCCTGTGAATCTAGTCTGGCTGCCCCCCCCCCGAGATCTTCTGCCTACAGACTGAACAGATAAGGGGATGAAATGCACCCTTGTTTGACGCCTTCACCTATAAGAAGCCATCCTCTCTCCCCAAATTCTTGTTCACAATACAGGTGACGCATCAGGACAATCAAGTGGTAAAGCAGGTCTTTCAGAACAAAGGCGACCAGACAGCCTTGTGAAGGTGCTTCAGCAGTTTGGTCCAGCCAGCCCATGGTTGCCGACCGAAAGGCAGGGACTCGGGGGGGGGGATTCTTTTCTAGCCCTCCATGAAGATGGGCTGGGCTGGGAACGCAGGTGCCTCAGGGGCTTTCCTCCCTCAGCGGCCATACCCCTCTTCCTTCTTGGGGAAGAGGGGCTTGCACCCAAGCCAGCAAAGCTGGGGAACTGGAACATTTCTTTCTCTTTACTCACAAGAAAGGTGGAGAACGTAGTGGTGCTTGTGACCCAGAAATTACACTTGTGAGAATGCATTTTCTTTGAAATAGTCTAGTTTCATGGATTACCTGCTGTTTTAAGAATCTGAAGCCCCAGATGGTTTATACGCATCTCTATTAGCCATCTGTCAATCCGTCTGCACTTGCTGAGCGTGTGCCCTTTGCTTGTTAAAGCTGAAGGATGGTGGAGACCTTTTATGCAGACTCCTGAGACTTGGGTGTTGGGAAAGTTGTTTTTCTTTTCTTTTCTTCTCTGGAGGTGGGGAGTCCCACAGAGCTGCAAAATTCCTCATTGAGATGCCTCGTTTCACCCTGGGGGGTGGGTGGGAAAGTATTCGCTCATGCTCAGCGCCTCTCTCTTATCCATTGGCCTCAGTTCCCAGGACTTGCGTGTTTTATGGCCAGTGCTGTGAGCCACACGGTTTATCTCAAGGGTAAGGCTGCCCCCCCGCCCGTTCCCTCCCCTCCATGAGGCTGTGGGGGCAGAACGGTCCCAATAACCACCTCCTCTTTCCGATTCATCCTTGCAGGTACCTCAAAGTGGAATATTGGAGGGTCCAGATTGGGGCCACCGAGCGCTCCAAGCCGGGCCCCGACGCCCAGACGCGCTCCATCAAACGGCTGGTGGACCACGAGCACTTCAGCCGGCGACTGAACCTCAACGACATCACCTTGATCGAGCTGGACAAGCCGGTCATCTGCAACGACTACGTCCAGCCCGCCTGCCTGCCGGAACAACACCTGCCGATGGACACCCTCACCCACTGCTACGTCTGCGGCTGGGGCGTCACAAAGATCACACGTGAGAGAGAGAGAGCAAGAGAGAGAGCCGGAGGGCATTCCCCCCCACCCGCTCACCCCACAGGTTCCCCCGCTCCAACAGAACAGCCCTTCCTTCACCCCCCAAACACGCCAGCACCCCGGCTGGATTGCATTTAAATCAAACTGATTTGAAGCACAAGGTCAATTTTTTAAAAAAACAGATTTTTTGGATGGTTTAATTTTTTTTTTTAATTGATTTTTAAAATAGAAATTGTGATTGACATCAAGATTTAAATGGTTAAAGAAACCAAAAACAAATCATTGATATTGATCTACCCTGCTAGCACTCCCTAGGGAAGTGGCTAGGAATTTCACCGGGGGGGGGCAGAACCATGTGCCAGAACTGCAGGCAGTTAACAATTTTGCAAAAGAGTTTTTGCAAGACGCAACCTTCATTTAGCCCAGGGCACCATGTTTCAGCAAGTGAAGTCTAGCGGTCAGGGGATGTCTCGGGACCGCTCTGTTCTGGATTGGTCAGACTTCCTTTCCGGTCCTGCTTCCGGTTCTGGGGGCCAGAGTTTCAGAAGGATGCCAACAAACTGGCCTGTGTCCAGAGGAGGAAAGCTCGGCTTAATGTTAAAAGATCTGGACGCCAGGCCCAGAGGAAGAGTTGACGATGCTGAAGATGCTTATTCTGGAAGGAGGAGAACTGAGAGATGATAGGAGAGCCATTTCCAAATATCTGAAGAGCTGCCATACAGGGCAAACTTATTTCCATCTGCTTCAGAGAGCAGGACCTGAATGAACGGACAGAATCCTGCTGGCACATACAGTTCGCTTAATGTTCTGTAGCCCCTTGTGGCTAGTGGGCAAGATGCCAGGATGCATCTGAGTCATGCAGTCAGTTCTGTGATCCTCGGTTGAGGCCCATGAGGCCCTGGGGCACAAAGGTTAAAGTGCAGTCCTGCAGTCAAGTTTCTGCTTATGATCTGAGTTCGATCCCAACAGGTTTAGGGAGCCGGCTCAAGGTTGACTCAGCCTTCCAGCCTTCCAAGGTTGATAAATTGAGTACCCAGTTTGCTGGGGGGAGGGGCGGAGTATAGTTTCTTAATTAGGTTATAAACCACCAAGACAATGCTTTAGCACTTGGGGGGAGGGCCTGGATTTAAAAAAGTCAAAACAACAACAATAACAACTCCAGCACCTTGTCAGTTAGATCGAAACAGCCACAGCAAATGAAAATAATAGAATCACAGGATCATGGAATAATGGAGTCAGAAGGGGCCTTAAAGGCCATCAAGTCCAACCCCCTGCTCATGGCAGGAATTCAAACCAAAGAGGATCCGACAGGTAGTTGTCCAGTTTTCCCTTGAAGGCCTCCAGCATTGGAGCGCTCCCTACCACCTCCCCTTGAAGTCACGGGTTCTGTCGTTGTACTGCTCTAACAATTAAGAAGTTTTTCGTGATATTCAGCCAAAATCTGGCTTCCTGTAACTGGAGCCCATTATTGCATGTCCTGCACTCTGGGATGATCGAGAACAGATCCTGACCCCCCCCCCCGTAGGACAGCCTTTCCAATATTTGAAAAGTGCTCTCCTATTATCTCCCCTCTTATCTTCTTTTCTCAAGGCTAAACCTGCCCAGTGCTTTCAGCCTTTCCTCCTAAGGCTTGGTTTCCAGTCCCCGGATCCTCCTGGTCGCCCTCCTCTGCTGAACTGGTTCCAGTTTGCTGGCATCCTTCTTGAAGTGGGGATGTCCAGAAAATTAAGCAACCTTTATGTAATCACCATTAGGATTCTGACCAACGGGTCCAAATTAAAGGAGCGTAGATTTTTACGAAAAGGTCGGGGAGAATTTCCTGGTGGTGGTGAGAGCGACCTCGCCGGGCCGTGGCCTGCCTTCACTGCCCGTTTTTAAGAAGAGGTGAAGTGACCCTGTGTCGGGGTTGTTTTAGGAGCACGTTTCCTGAGTGGGGGGAGAGGTTTCAAGTGGGGCAGTCCCCCTTGGAGCGCCGGTAAGATCCAGGGATGGGCATCTGGGTCACGAGACTCCCTGTCAAGTCAGACTGAAGTTGCACTGGTGACTTGACTCCGACTTCACCTCGGGTTCAATGACTTGGACTCAACTCATTACTTCAGAACCCACCCACCCCTTTCGTCTTTTTTTCTGGGGGGGGGATTTGTTTCTAATAGGCCCTCGGACGTGGGGCCTGGGATTCAGGACCTGGTACCGAAGATTTGGTCTTGGAGTTCAGACCCAAAGTCTTCCCAAGGTTCCCGGTGTGATCTCGTGTACTTCCCCATTTCATCCTCCGCCGGCGTGATGCCTACGAGAGCGGCCCCGAGTTCCTTCCCCTCCTAACGAATCCCCTTTCAGCCAAGCCCACCTCCTCCCGGCGGGTCTAGGGCAGAGGAGGGTCAAATCCAAAACACACCTTTTCGCCCCTGGGATCCCTTGAGGGCTGCCCCAGCTCTGAAAAGGTCCAAATATTATGAAATTCAAAACCAAAGGTTGCTGGGAAGCTGCTCTCCGATTCATTGCAGTGGGTTTGGGGTTTTGAAGGAAGGTTGGAGTGGCCGAGTTCCTGCCCCAGGGGTTATGGCAAAGCCACAAATTCTTGGAGGGGGAGAGGAAAGGACGACAAGTCTGTCTGTTGTTTGGTTGCAGAAGTTAGTTTGGAGAGGTGGGATTCCAGGTCCAGAAAAAGTGGCCCTCCGGGGGGGGCATCCAGGTCCCAGGCCCCACGTGACCCACGCCTGGTTTAGGGGAGCAACGCTCCTGCTAAGTGCCTGTTGGCCACGTGCCACGGGGGCTGTCGTGTCTAGAGCTTCCTAGTGCTGGCAGGGAGAACCCAGTCAACCTTTCCTTCTCCCCAGGGCGCCCGGTGTACGCGGACATCCTGCAAGAGGCCAAGGTGCATCTCATCTCGAACGACGTCTGCAACAGCACCAGATATTACCCGGGGAGCGTCAGAACCGACCACATATGTGCCCTGGCTGACGAAGCCAAAATGGACCGCTGCGAGGTAGGTGGGCCCAGAGACGGCTTCCCCCGGGTCTGGTCTTCTCTCTTCCCCGTGGACTTGGCTGATCTTGTTCCTTGCTGAGGCTCACAGGGCAAGAGAGAGAGAGAGAGAGAGAGAGAGAGAGAGAGAAAGAGAGAGAGAGAGGAAGAAGGGCCCCCCAGAGGCAAGCTATGGCCATGTCCCGGGTCCTGAGAAGAGCCCCAAAGCTCAAAGATCGGTTGCCACAAGGGTCAGGCAGTGGCCTCTCGGGAGGGCAGCCGTCGGCTGGAGAGCCAGGACATCTTCCCAGTTGGGTTTCCCAAGCAAGAGATGCCCAGAGGGGTGAACGGTCTCTGGCAGGGGAGATGATCCACGGCGATCCTGATGGGCAGCCATTGGTGGCTGGGCTTCTTGGGTGGGAAGCAGCCGTCACAGGTGGGTTCCGGCACAAATATTTGGCCCTGCCCAAAACTGGTGCCTTTGAAACATGAGGGGTTGCCGAATTTCCGTGCCTCGATGGATTCCAACGGTCAGAAGCTGTGGCCCGTGTCACCAAAGCCTGGGGATTCTGAGAAGGCCAGCAACACCTGGAGACCGATGGTTGGGAGGGTTGTTGTTGCCGGTTCACACCATCCTCCAGTGTTTCTAAACCTTCAACAAGGCCTTCGGTAGACTTTCAAACTGAGCTTAATTCCCTCCCCCCCACCCCGGATCGAACAGGATCTCCTCTAATTCAGGATTAGAGAATGCATAAATGTTTGGCTAGACTCAACACGTATCCAGGGGAAGTGCTCTGGCCCCCTCTGTCTCTGGTTTCATTGTCCTGGATGCACAGAAGGAGACAAGGCCGGACAAGGGAAAGTCCACTCTCTCTCCTGGGGGGGGGAGTCCTCCGTATGAATTGGATCCCATGCATCAGGGTGCTTTGGCTCTCCTCTCCGGTTGGTGGGCTTCTAACTAAGACATCTGTTTGACCACCATGCTAGATAAATGCTGGGTCAAAGATCCCGCTTCAAGGCTCCTTTACATTTTGGAAGTAACATCCCCCTAGGAGCTGACGAGGGCTGACTCCTGCCCGCCGGAAGGCCCCTCGGCCATTAGATCTCAAATAACTTTCTATATATTCTTTGTCTTAATCTAGGTGAACTGATATATTTTTAAAAGACCAAACCAACCTGCTGAGAGTATAATAAAATAACCGGTGTGAAGGTGATGGGGAGGGTCAGTGACCTCTCTGGGGTTGGGGGCCACCTCTGGGTGGAGAACCCCCCCCACCTCGCTTTTCACTCCCCCTTTCCCTTCCTTTTCTCTTTTTCTCCCCCTTCCAGGGTGACGGGGGCGGCCCGCTTATGTGCCGACTCGAACGGTCCGAGCGCTACTGGGTGATCGGGATCACCAGCTGGGGCCGAGGCTGCACCTTGGGGAAATGGCCGGGGGTCTTCACCTCCACGCACTATTTCTACCACTGGATCGTCAAGACCCTCAGGGACCCTCCCCAGTCCGCGCTCGTCCCGCCGTTCATCCCCACGCCCCCGCCCCCACCCCCGACCACCACCAAGTTCAAACCCTTCTGGGTCGTCTACCACAACGAGTTTGGGGGCCGTTTCACCTATCTCGTGACGGCACCGCCCCCCAACGTGACGAGGGACCCCACCGCCTGGGTGACGTTCACCAGGTACCGCTCGACCCGGCGGAGCACGTGGGCACCAACTGGGACCTTCACCTGGACCACGAGGAAGATAAAGAAGAGACGTCCGCACGTCCCAGGGACCATCTCGGGAGACGTCCCGGCGGGCGCTTGGTTCACCCGCCCAACCCAAAAGACCACCCGGAAGGCCAACACCTGGAGGCCCAAGTGGTTGATTGAGCACTATCAGCACGCCAAGACGTGGCCGAGTTACTGGCCCACCCCTCAGCCCTGACCAAGGCCACGGGTCCCTGCCTCGGTCCGTGCCTCGATCCAGGCCGAGTGCCCGAGGCTGAGCCCCACACCTCCGGCAGTCTCTAGGTACAACCCCCCCCAGCCCTAGCCACCTCTCCCGCCCGCCCACCTGCCACCAGTCGGTCCCTTGCTTCTGCGAGGTTCCTTCCGTGTCTATTTTGGAAACTATCTGACGGCCAAAAAAATCAGGCACCACATCCGTCAACCGGTCCCTGGTCTCTGGCTGCAAATCCCAACGAGGGGGATTGTTGGGTATTTGGGGAACAGAACGACAGGGACCTCGCTGCAGATGGGGGTCACCTCCTCAGGCCTCCTCCGACCCCTAACGCTCGCCTCCACTCAGGCTGACGACAGCCAGACCCTCAGCACTGTTCACGCCCAAGGAACCCCATCCCTGTCCAGTTCGTGGCAAGAAGGCGAGGAGGCCCCAACCTTCTGGGTCCTTCGGCGCTGGTTTTATCTGAACCGCCAACGAGGAGAGAACCTGTGGGGTGGGCGGACCTGAAACTGAACTCCCCCACACACACACACCTGAGGAACAGGGAGGTGTTTGCAAAGCGTGGGCAGAGTTCCCCAAGCCTCATGACACCCCCTTTATGAACAGACCTTGTGCTGCCAGTGGGTATCCTGGACGGCTGTCCCCCCCCCATGGGATTTCCCTGTGACGGGATATATTCAAAATAAAAGTGGTGCCTTCTGTTGAAGCTGTCCTCGTGATTCAAACTCTGTGTGAAAGCAGCTTAAAGACATGGGAAGGGCAACGTCTTTTTTAAAAAAATCACCTCATTGGGTTAACCGATCTCCAAATCAAAGCCTCTGGCTCCTTGAGGTTGCTTTTGGGGTGGGGTGTTTTTGTTTCGGTTTTGCAACTCTCCAGAAGGACGAGGGCCGCCTCCTGGACTTTCCAGAGCCACTGTTTGTCTCTGCTGGGAAGAGCCTCTGGTTGGCTTGCTTCCCTTCCTTCCAAGGGGTGAAGGTTCGCTCTAGGGCGCTTCTCACGGTCTGAATCTGAGCCGGGGAACCTCCTGTCCCGAGCATTCAACTGCTCCCCCTGAGAACCGCTGCCCATCCTGCTGTGGTCTTGGCGAGTGGCTGTGCCTAGAGAGGGTCGGGCAGTTGCCACCCGAAACTGAGCCTTCTCGGCCGTGGCCCCATCTTTGTAGAAGGGGCTCTCCTTGGAGATCTGCCAGGCCCCCTCCCTTGACGATGTTTAAAAGGATGCTCAAGACAGAGCTTTTGAAGGAAGCGTTCAGAGACACCCTTCTCTGAGGTTTATAGCCGGATCTGCTTTTTTGCTCTCTCATGATGGCTGTTGTGAGTGCTTTGGAACATTTCTTCGGTTTTCCTTTTCCAGTTTGACAGTTTATTCTGTTCTCGGGGTGCAAGGGATGGCAGGGGTCACCAATGTTGTTAACCACCCGGAGTGCTGCGTGTCACTGAGTTGTGTGGTATACAAATGCAGTGGTGCCTCGCATAGCGAGGTTAATCTGTTCCGGATTAACCTTCGCTATGCTGAAGCATCGCTGAACGGGGCAGGGATTTCCATTGGAACGCATTAAACATCGTTTAATGCGTTCCAAATAGGCCAAATACTCACCGTTCAGCGATGCTTCAGGATGGCCGGCAGCCATTTTCGCGCCCTCGCCTCGCTTAACGAGGGCGCGAAAACGCTGCGCACGGCCATTTTGGGCCATTTCCAGGCTTCCGGCAGCCATTTTGGCCGCCGAACAGCTGATCGTCGGGGGTTCGTTTTGCGAAGATCGGTAAGCGAAACGCTTACCGGTCTTCGCAAAGCGAATTTTGCCCCATTAAAAAAACATTGAGCGATCGCATTAGTGATCCGAAAAAACGGATCGCTATGCGATTTCATCATTATACGGTGCGCTCGTTAAGCGAGGCACCACTGTGTATGAAAGAAATAAATGCATTTATCAACACAACTGCTCACTCTCTCTGCCGCCACTCCCTGATTCTTAGTTAGGTGCAGTGGATGGCATGAGGAACTAAATATTTCACTTATGTACGTGGAAAGCACTTGTTAGGGTTTCTGTATATCAGTTCCAAGGTGACATCCCAGAAGATACCACACACAGAAACCAGCCACCGCCACAAGAAAAGATCCAGGAAAGAAACTCTGCCGGAGAAATCGGGTTCTTGAAGCATCACTAAGGTGAAATTGGGGTGCAAGTTTCCTCTTCATTTGAGTTTCTTTCACCTGGACAAGACAGGGAAGGGACTGGACATGGAAACTCTCGCACGCCCAGTGCAGCGATGGGGCTTTATGCCTGAACCCTTCCTAGAGACACTTGCTGGTGCCACATGGGGGGGTCCCATGCCAGAACTCACTCCCCCGCATTTCAGAAGGTGCAGGCAGATATCGGCAGACGGAGGAGAAACGTCAGAAGGCTATTTATTACCTTCCTGTTCACTTTTTTGCCAGACATCAGAGCTGACTTCCGGAGGTGCTGAAACGCAGCTGAGACATCTTTAAAGTAATGACAATGAACCAGGGGCCGCCACCACATTCCGGCACTGTAAAATGCCAGGCGGGGGGGGAGGGCGCACAGTCCGGATCTTCCCATGAAGCGGTCTGAAATCCTGGAGGGCTAGTGATGGAAGCTGCCGCACAGGGGTTCCTCCCGTGTTGGTTTCTCGTGGCTCTGTGGCCTAAACTCAGAAGGGTCACCTTTTAACACACACACCCACACCCCAGTGCTTGGTGGGCCGTTGTCGTAGGCTTACCTCCGGCAGCCCTGCAGAGTCGGACCCTCCCCACAGGGCTCCGCTGTCAAAGGAAAAGGCTGTAAGGCCAGAGTGGGAAACATCCTCATACAGGTCTTAGTGTGCTGCCTGGCATCAGTAATGGATTGGATGAAAACTGAAGCTGGATCCAGATAAGAGGGAGATCCTACTGCTGGTGGGATCATCTGACCGGGTAATGCAGGGTCTCCTGACCTTGGGTCCCCAGAGGTTCTTGGACTACAACTCCCATAAATCCTGGCCAGCACAGCGGGAGATGAAGGTGTGACAACCCCAGACCTACTGGAGTATGCCACACTTTAACTATGCTGCCACCAACCATTCCCTGTAAGGAGTCACACAGACCAGGAATGGATTTTTAACAAATAAAGGAATAAGGTTTATTTAAATAACACACAGGGAAAATAAGATGATCAAGTGAATAAGATACAGTAACGTGGCTTAGTCTCAATCATACATACACCAATTTGGTTCACACAGAACACCTTTCAAATAAAGCCCAGACCCTGAACCTATCAGTTCTGGCTTCCCATACAGACACCTGAACCTATCAGGTTGGTACTGACTGACACACAGTAGTACCCTGTCTGACACACAGACTCCCACACCAGCTTCTTCTCCCAGCTTCTCCTTCTACTACTTCACACAAGCTCCACATATATATATACAGTACAGCCCCTCCTCCTGATGTCCCGCCTTCCACTCCCCATAGGATGGAACTTTCCCTCCAAACCCATGACAGACAGGTAACATCAGTGCTGTATGTAACAGAAGGCTTCTGGGAGTGGTAGCACAAGAGCATCTGGGGACCCCAGGTTGGGAGACTCTGGGTTAAAGGGACACTGACCGGACCTCAATGAGGTTACACTCCTTGCGGATGATCTCAGATCTGTCACTCATGGAGGCACAAATATCCGCTGTGGCCCAGAGTGCCTTTTATCAGCTTTGGTTGATTGCTCAGCACTGCCCCTAACGGGATAGGAAATGCCTAACCACCCTGGTTCATGGGGTGACAATCTCTAAAATAGACTGCTGTAATGCTCTCTGTGTAGGCCTGCCCTTGACGTCGGTATGGAAACTTTTAGCAGGTTCAAAATATGGCTACCGGACTGATTATAGATACCAGCAGATACGGACATGTGTTCCCTATTTTGGCACGTCTTCGCTGGCTCCCTGTTAGTTTCTGTGCCCAATTCAAGGTGCTGGTCGTGACCCGTCAAGCCCCTTATAACGGTTTAGGACCTTGAAAATGGGCTGAACGTCACTCCCGCAAAACAGTCGCCCCTCTCACCCACTCCTCACCATCCAAATCTGACTGGTCCAAATTGAGCCGATCTTGCTCGCAGTCCGAGGCCAGACGCACGAAGAGAACGCTTCAGCAATTCCACATGCATTCCGGGATGAGGCAACCACATACAAACCCTGGGATTTTGAGAAGGGAGAGCCAGGTGGCACATTCATCATCAGCAACGTCGGGGGCCTTCAGACGGGTGGCCTGTTCACTTCGTGTTCCCACTCTGAGTGAAATGCATTAGAATTTTGTTTTAATTACACACACACACACACACACACACACACACACACACACACAAAAACTCGTTTTGCTTTAATAAGTGAGAAGTAGCATGCATGATGTTGTGCAAATGGGTGTCCTTATTGCAGGCAAGGCATGCCCCACTTTTTGGATAACCGGCATATGGCCCCATCCCACGGCTTCTGGATTCCAGACACTAAAAAGCCGGGGTGTCACTGTGTTTGCAGCGCAGGCTGTGCCTGGGGTGGGGGGACCTCAGTCAAAACACTGTTGGCGGCGTTCCTTTCAAAGCCTCCTGGGCTTGGGTGGGGGAAGGGGCCTGGCCTCAATCCTTCAATGCACGGTGCAGAAGCTTTCCAGAGGTGGTGGCAGGGAAGGCACCCAGGAAGCAGTGTGTTCCGTGTGATGTCATACTGCCTCTGTGCCGATTGGAGGTGGGCTGGATCCGTCTGCTTGTGATGTCACGCGAGCACTGGGAGAATGCGGTGATGGGAAGAGCCTCTGGAGCTACAAGGAGGATGAGATGGCTGCTTCTCGTGCTCCCGGTTCTTGCCATGGTCTGGCCCAGCGGTGCCATCGTTGATACTTGCGAGTAAGTGGCCGGACAGAAGCCTCTGAGTCTAGCCTGGGGTGGTGGTGGTGGGTTCCTTCCTGTTCTCCAGAGGGGCACAAACCAGCTCAAAGAGGCATCCATCCTTTGGAACAGCGAGAGAGGGTTGACCCCAGTGGGAAAAGGACATCATCGGCTGAGGGTGGGAAAGGGAGGAAGTGGTACCCTTTTTAATATACAGTATATACAGAGCAGTCCTCGGTTTTAATGGCTGCTGGAGGATGGTCCCCTCTCTCTCCCCGGAGAGTCCTCTGGAGTTCCACACTTGCAGAAATACTGAAGGGGATCGTGGCCAAAGTACCATGAGGAAGAGGGAGACCATTGGCCTAGCCAGAATGCGTGCCGCAGCCCTGGGTTGCAGAAGTGCACACAGCTCACCCTGGAACGGCATGCATGGCGATTCTGCTTGCCTTCCTGGTTTTGCAGCTGTGCGCAGGAGCCAGCCCAGGTAGCCTTTTTTCGTACCAGAGCCCTCCTTCGGCCTCCGTTTTGGTGAGGAAGAAGTGGCTCCGGCAGGGACAGCAGGAAGCATCGTAGGAAGCAGAGAGAATGAGAAGGAAGAAGGGCCTTGTCCTCAAAAGAGGAGGGACCCCATAGCGACCCATCCAAAACCAGCCTGGTCTCCTCTCATGGAAGACCAGGTTGTAAACCTTACAGGCTGATCGAGACCAAAGGGAAGCCAGAACAGAGGCTTTGCTCACATCCCTGGGGAGGAAAAGGAAAGCCCCCCCCCCAACGTAGGAAGAGGGCATCCCATGGCAAAGCGAGAGCTTAGGTCTCTTGCTCTTCTTGCCAGCCGCCATCAAGTGGTGCCCAATTTATGCTGGCCCCAGGAATGCGCACTTTCCAGCAGGTCCTGCTCAGCTCTTGCCGACTCAACCCTGTGGCTTCCTTCAGGGAGTCAGTCCACCTCATGGATTGGGTCTTCCTCATTTCCTTTCCCCTTCCTGAGCATCATAATTCAAAGTAAGACAGCCACCAGTTGCATCTATCTATCTATCTATCTATCTATCTATCTATCTATCTATCTATCTATCTATCTATCTATCTATCTATCTATCTATCTATCTATCTATCTATCTATCTGTTTGATCTAGGACCCACTGGTTCGTCTTTCTGGCAACAGAATTCTCCTCCAGCACCACATTTCAGTGGGAGCCCTGCTGGGAAGCCACAGGGGAAGGGCACCAACCCAAGTCAGGGGGTTACATTGGCCATGTCCAGGGAGTCGTTGCAGAAGAGACGAGACACCCCCCCAACCCCCAAGAAAGAGGGAAGCTCAAGCCTCCTGTCTCCCTCCAGTGTCTGCGGGAGTCGTCCCCTGGTGCCCAGCGATGTCGAGCAACCGCAGCTGGAGGGCAGCGTGGACGCCCTGCCCGGATCCTGGCCCTGGATTGTTAGCCTGCAGCTGCCAACCATCACAGGGCACAACCACACCTGCGGAGGCTCCTTGATCACAGCGCGGTGGGTCCTCACGGCCGCCCACTGCTTCAGAAACAAAAGGTGAGCCGGGGCCAAAGTCGGGGGTGGTGGGAGGTTAAATGGGAGGGAGGGGGGAAGAGGAGGAGGCCCTGGGCCCCTCTCATGTGGAGACACTCTCTTCCCCCCCCGCCTGCAGCTGTGCTCAATCTGCAGCTGGGGACGGGAAGCTGGGGCACTGAGCACCGTGAGGGCCGGGGGGGTTTGTGCATGAAGGAAGCACCACCAGCGCCATGCAAAGACGCCTTCCAGCTGAGAGCCCCGTGGCCACCCGGGAACGGGCGCAGATCCCTGAAAATTGGGGGTGTGGAAAAGGGGGCCCCACCCCGCCCGTCTGGGCACCAGATGCAGCCCTGGACCCCCACCCCCACCCCATACACAATGTTTGGCTGCTCAAGCATTTCCCTGCTGCTCTCAAAGGCATGCGATGAGGATCCGTTGCTGGCATGGGGATTATGGGAGATGTAGTCCATTAGATGGACATTTCCAAGCTCTCTTCCTTCCACAGTTCAGCTTGGAGCGTGCATCCAAAGGAGACCTTCCCATCATGAGAAACGGCAGATACAAACTTCCTTAGAATGGGGCGGTGGGGGGGGGAGAAGGGGGGCTATCCGCTCTTTCCCCCTGACCGGGTAGGGACCTAATAGAGATAATCAGACAGGACCAGCCTGAATCTTCTCTCCAGGTAAGGTCTTTGCTCCGGTGACCGCCTGGCCATTAGCCTACTTCTGAGGACAGGGGGTCCCCACCTTGGGTCACCCAGGTGTTCTTGGACTTCAGTTCCCAGAAACCCGCCAGCCAGCACAGGTGGTGCAAAGCCTTCTGGGAATTGCAGTCCAAGAACACCTGGGGGACCCAAAGTGGGGGACCCCTGTCCAAGAACAAAGCAGGAGAGCACTTTTCACCCGAAGGGCCAGATCCAGTTTTAGAAACATACTAGGCAGTAGTGCCGTGTGTGTCTCTCTGTATGTGTGGTTTTCCAGGTACAGGTGGGGTCAAAGGCCAAAGACCAGAACCGAAAACCAACCAACCAACCATCGTTATTTTAACATTTCAGCTCTTTCTCCCAGTAACTTGAATGGCAGGAGAGTCGCTCCAGTGTTTTAAAATGGGAGGAAGCCCAGGCAAAGGTGGGAAGCCACCCAGGGAAGGTTTCATGGCAATGGATTGGAGCGTGACCACCCAGGGAAGCCCAGAAGGGCCTGATCCACCTCCAGAGCCTCAGGTTCCCTAGCCTCTCTTAACCCTGGAGCTTAGCTGCCTCCTTTCTCTGCCCTCTTTGCCAAGGAACCTGCCACACTGGCGTGCCGTGGTTGGCGCGACCAAGCTCTCCTCGCTTGGCCCGGAAGTCCACGTGCGCTACGTCAAGCAAGTGGTGATCCACGAGGACTACAAGCCGACGACCGAGGTTAACGACATCGCCTTGATGGAGCTGGACCAGCCTGTCAAGTGCAGCGACTACATTCAACCGGCCTGCGTGCCCGACAGTACGGTCAGGGTGCCCACGCTCACCTACTGCTACATTGGCGGCTGGGGCGTCTTGCGACAGGGGGGTAAGAATCCGACCTGTTCCTCCTTGTCAATGGGGCCAGCCCACTCCCTGCCTTTTCTTCTCCCTCCTCCTCCTCCTCCTCTTCCTCCCTCGGAACCCAACCACAGCTAAGATCTGAGAAAACCCCCACTTTGTCAATCTAAGCATGGGTGACCAAAGCAGCCCAGAGGTGTCCCCCAGGAGGACCCTTGAATGGTCCTTTTAGACTCGCCCCAGGTCTACCTGGCATGCACGTCCGTGGTGGAATGAAGACGCCCCAATTCTGAGTAGTAATAACCAGGTTCTGCCTGAGCATTATGGCCTGGAGTTCACTCAATGAGGGACGTGTAACGGCCAAACCCCATGAGATTGGCAGTATCACAATTGGGAAAGAATGAGGAGAGGATGGACCTTCGGCCCTGCAGAGACGCCTTCTTCACTGCTGACTCCTGTGTTTGCAAAATAAACAAAACACAGCCCGTTGTTTCCTTCCCATGACCAGCCACCACGCCCAAGAACTTTTTTTTACAAGATAATCCATCACACACCCTTGAATGCTCAAGTCAGCTTTGCTTCTAATTTCAAAGCTG